TAGTTATTTTATTCTATTACATGTATGCATTCTTCAAGCCATATACTTAAAAAGTATCTTTCACCAATAAGGAAAGGGGCTTAAATATATTCCTTGATATGGCTCATAAATACCGAGGTGAACAAAGGCAAAAATCTGAAAGTTTTATTACCCTCTACACCTCGTTCTATTAGAGCTCAAACTTCTTTTAAAGATTGCAATGGTTGAGGCTCTTTTATGGAATGTAAGGCGTATTAGGGACTAACTCTAGGATTAGAGTTAGAAATTTATATAGAGTCCATAATATTCAGTTGTTGGTTTTAATTGAGCCTTTTATATCTATTGATAAGCTTGATTTCACTGCCTCTAAATTTGGGGTTTTTCTATGAAGTATGCTAACTGTTTTAATAAAATTTAGATTATGTGGAATAACGTTTAGAATGTGGTTATTATTTATGATTTTCCTCAAGTTGTCCTTATTCAAATTTCCTTCTTTAATTTCAAGTGTAATGCTTCTTTTGTTTATTGTAGGTGTTCTAAGTTAGGTCAACTTCCCCTTTGTGAGCAATTAACTGATTTTGCTATGAGAATTAATGGTCCGTGGTGTGTGGGTGGGGATTTTAATATTATTTCTGATCTTCTGAGAGATTGGGAGGTAACCCCCCCCCCCCAATCTTAATGCCATGGATGAGTTCAACTCCATGATTAATGATTGCAATCTCCATGACATTGATTTTTTTTGTGGGTACTTTTCAAATTCGCTGGAAACTTATAATTTTTCGTCAAAAAACATGCCGGTACAAAACTACTCAGTTCGCTCTTTACCCATCCCCGGGCATGAAAATAGAATCAAAAGCATGGATGAGATAACACAATTTAGTAGGATATTATTGCCTAAAATAGAAATCAATAACTAAAACAAAAAAAAATGAAATTAAATTATATACTGAAATTGAATACACTTAAATAAATATTGAAATTAACTTAATTATAAACAAATACTTTATAATGATTATCAAAATAGCTCTCAAGCCTAAATTTTCATATATCTTCACTACCAAAATCCAACCTCAGCACCCATTGGTGCCGACATCACAACACTTTGATAATATAATTCCACCTCGATCACTCACTAGCATCAACATCACAACAGTTCCATAATAGAATCTAACCTTAGTCGCCCACCAGTGTCCGCATCATAACACTTTTATAACATAATCCCACCTCGGCCGCCCACTGGTGAAGGCATTACATTATAACACATCATATAACATTTCTTTCATATTTTCAATGCATTTCATTAGTTAAAGCATAACTGGACTAAATTCAAAAAGTATCAAAATGTTTTAGAAGTAAACTACAGAAATACTATTTAGTTAAAAATCATAATTTCAAAATATAATCAAATTATGAGAGATGGTGTAAAATATCATTCTGAAGTTTTATTTGAACTAAAGCACTATTTTTAGATGTCAAAAAATTTTTTGAGAAGGCATAATTTACTTTATTTTTAAAATCACCAAGTGAAAAAATTTCTAAAATATAATAAAAATATTAATAATCTCAATCTCTATAACTTATAAAAATTACGCAATAAAATTTTTACCAAAATAAAGTCATTATCATTTTTCAATAACAGAAATTCAAATTTGATAAAAAAATATTAAAAAAATCATATTATTGAAAACTGAAATAGGAAAAATATAACGTCAGAATAAAAAAATTTCTTATCTGGTCAGTCGGACAAAAAATGGCTCTACGACCAATAAATCCTAGCTTTTCTTCTTCTCTCTCTTCTCCTTTCTTTAAATTTTCCCAAATCCATCTCTATTAATTGAAATGGAGTTAATGAAATGGGAGAAATAAATATTTAAGTGCTTTTAGATTTTTTTTAAAATAAAATAATTATATAATTATAATATTATAATAAATCTTTAATATAAAATTCATGGAAATTCTATTTGGGATTCTAAAAATTATATAAAAATATCTATAAAGTAACACTTTTATTTAAAAAAATTTGATGAAATTGATTTGCAAAATAGATATCTGATGGTCCCAAAATCCAAACTTGTATCGATGGGTGTTAATTTATTAAGAAATTTCAAAAATTATAAAACAAATTAGTGAAATTAAAACACAACAATATACATGTTATGCCAAAGACAGTTTATGATTTGGAGTTATAATGACTCCTAAATAAATTCAAAATAAATATGGATATAATTATATCATCTAATATTCCTTCTCTTAAGTAGTCTCTCTAACTATCATATGCTTCCATTATGCACTGACCATCAGAATATTTTGCTTCTTAATTTACTCACATCATGCTTGAATCTTTTCTGGCTCCTCTATATAGTGTAGAATTGGATGATCCTCAATATTATTAGTAGATAATTTCTTCCTAAAATTAGATACCCACTTCTTAAGAGAAGATACATGCATAAAATATATTGTGTATATCTAACATATGATTAGGTAACAATAACTTGTAAGCAGAAGTATGAACATTCTCAATGATCTCAAAAGGACCAATATACATTGTACTTAACTTGTTGATTTTTCCAAATCTATTGACGCCTTTCAGCGGACTGACTTTAACATAAATATAATTACCAACCTAAATTTCTACCCGCTTCTGTTTCTGATCATGATACTTCTTCTACCTATCCTATGCAAATCTCAATCTTTCTCTAATTAGATTAATCTTTGTTATAGTAGCATCCATAAAAATAGACCCTATTACCTATCTGTCCCCCACCTCTATCAAAAGACAAAGGGGTTCTACACTTCTTACCATACAGGGCTTCATAAGGAGAGATGCCAATATTGGACTGATAACTATTGTTATATGCAAAATATATCAGTTGGATATAATCCTCCTAACTATCACCAAAGTCTTAAACACGGTCTCAAATGATCCTCTAGTACATGATTAGTCCTTTTAGACTGTCCATCTATGTACAAATGAAAAGTCATTTTAAAGTACAATTTTGTGCACATTCCCTTCTGAATACCTCTATCTAATATGGAGGTGAATTGACCTTCACAATTGGATACAATCACCATCGGCATACCATGCAATCTGATAATATATTTGAGATATATTTGTGCCAATCTATCTACCATATTAGAATGAAATGCGTAGACTTTATCTATCGATCGATAATTACCTAAATGGCATCATGTCCCTGGCTCGATCTAGGAAAACCCATAGTAAAGTCCATCATCACCTCCACCCATTTCCACTTAGGGATTGGTAACGGCTGCAAAGATCGCTCGATCACTAATGCTCTACCTTTACTAACTGACAGGCCTTGCACTTCAAAAAAAAAAACTCTACCACATCCTTCTACAAGCTAGTTCACCAAAATATATCTTTTAAATCTTCATACATCTTGTTGTTTCCTGGATGAATAGAATAGCCCGAATTATGTGTCTCATGTAGGATTTAAGTTCTCAATCTATCAATAGAAGGAACCCAGAATCTATCCTTGCAGAAAATGACCCCAAAATTAGATACAAAAATTTTAGGTCTCTTACCAGCCTTAATCAGATCAATCAACTTCAGATACTTTATATCCGACTTCTGAGCTTCCTGAATTTTCTCCTATAGAGTTGGTTGAATAATCATTTGACCTAACAAACTTGAACATGTATCATCGGTTAACACCTCTATCTACAGTTTCTCTAAATCTTCTGTGAAACCCCTTAAATAAATAGAATCCAAACTCTTAACTATCGAGATACTATATATTTTGGCTTAAGGGCTACACAATTTTGTCTTATTAGTGTAACTTCCCATGAGGGCATCCATCCTAAGATTTCTCTGGAATGAGCATGCTTAACTGTTGAGTTTTTTTAATGAAATTCTGACCATTACATCAAAAAGTGCATTGATGTTTAAGAATTTAGCTTCTTTTTACCTAAAGGTCTCACAATCTCACTCACTTAAGTAACTGACATCATCATCAGTATCTCTATCTCAGAACCTTTCACCAGGTAGATAGGATTCTAGATGTTGACGGGTCATGTAGCACTTTATCCCATACATGATTCAAGAGGTGATTCAAAATGGCAACAATTGGTATAAGAGCAATACACCAGTCGGAAGATGGAAACTAAGAGCCATACAAGAAAAATTACTCACCGTCTAATAGAAATACTTGTAATATTGAGAATTTCAAACTGGGAAAACTTTAGGAAATCAAAAGCTATACATTTTCAGATGTTATTAGGTTTTGGCATTACTATGATTTGGTTCATGACTTTCAGGAGCTCCTTAATTCATTTTCGGTCTTTTTGCCACCTTGATCAACATTTTGTCGAATCAGCTCCGCTAATCTTATTTTGCTGAACTAATCCTCTTGCACAATATGGAAGAATCTTTGAGCCCTTTCTTTATGTTCACAGTCTTTAATTCCTTTTGTTGGCCATGGAGAGTTTTCTTTTTTTTTTTTTCTCCCTATTGCAGTTCTTACTTCGTGAATGAAATGTTGTCTTTGACTTACACTTTTGAGCTGTTCAGTATTGCTTTGATGCTTGATTTGAATAGGCTAACACACGACCGCATCACCCTTAGCTTATTTGATTGATATTTCTTTACTGTCTTAAGGATCATTCTCTCTGCCACTTTATCGAGCCATGTTTTTGTGGTTCATCTACTTCAAACTAGTTTTCAGTTAATAGGTTCTTTATTGTAAATTTGTTTTTTATTAAAAGAAGTTCTTGGCGTAGCCCAAAGTCATCCCCCTAAAAAAAACAAAATTTAAAAGGTAAATATATAAAAAACCTTCAAAACATTCCTTTTCTCTTTTATAATTACATTACCGCTTAAAAAAAACTATCCCTAGCTCACGGGCAAATTTTAGGTCCAATCACCTGACAGAGAAATACATCCAGATTTCTCTATATCTACAGTAAAACATAGCCAAAGCACAGTTACTGCAGTAGCTGCGCTTTGACTGCGCTTTTACTGTAGACTGAGAGAATTCCGGATGTATCTCTCTGTCAGGTGACCGGGCCTAATAATTTTCCCAGCTCACGACCGTCTCTGAAAGAAAAGCCCTTCCATGGATCCAACCAAAGCAAAGATGCTCACAAGCAAGCATCCAACGCTGAAGACCTGTAGCACGACCCACTTTGAAGTCCAGGGTGCAATCTTCCTCTGCACAAAGTACATCTCCACAGGGAAGTAGATTGCCAGTGGCCAAAAGCTAATGGCTCCAAGCAGCGCCAATACCTGGTTGAAGTATGGGAAGCCCAACGCAAGTCCCGTGGTTGATGCCACGTATAGTGTTCTAAAGAAAATCCTGAACAGATTGATCTTGAAAGATGGTAAGAATGGAAGGTGAATGTTGTAGAAATCATTCACCAAACTGGTCAGTGGAAGTTTTATCGATAGCCACCGCTCCACAAACGCAAAGATTGGTTGGCTGTATACCTGAAATGAAATAGAAAAAAATGGTTAATTATTAGAAGATTGGGAACTAGATTGCAGTAGAAACATTTCTAATATTAGCATTCAAAAGTCTTAAAGAGGAGATAAAAAAGAAGGAAACTTGTATTACCTGATAACCCCCTATGAGGTGAATTATGATGCAAATGTTGGCGAAGTCTATTAGCCAGTATGGTTCATAGAATCCGAATCCAGTTAAGAGATTTCCGGGGGTGTCATCGCCAAAGGCAGCATAGCCAAAACATCCACAGCAGAGGTAGAAGAAAGTGGTGATGATGATCGAAGCCATGGAAGCTTTCTTTATGGTCTGATTCTCAGGAGGTGGGGACTTCACCGTATCCTGTATTAAGGGGTGATTTCATAGTTCATTGTCTTAATATATATAGAAGGAAGATCTTAACAATTTTTCTCTTTTTGTTTACGCCATATAAAACTAGTACTATAAAATGAGATCATATATGGAGTAATAAGATGTGCAGAATTTCACCTGTATTTCTATGAGAATTACAGAGTATGGGTAAGCAAATGCTACGTCACCAATAGCTTGGGAAACTTTCCAAACTTTCTGTGCTGTGGATGCTGTATGAACCCCTCCAATCCCCCCTTTGATCGTTCCATTACCTGAAATACAAGTAGGATTAGATATTTGCTTTCTGCTGCACAAAAAGACTGTTTTGTGCTACATAAAAGATATATCTTAACAAAAACTAGTCATTTTACAAAGAAACTGCTCTCTCTTTTGGCATAATGATTGGCTCGTCATAATGTATACTGGAATGAAACAAAATCCTTTTGACGTCGGAGCTACAGAATGTTTCCGAAGTTGTAGTTTAGCTGAATTAAGAAATTCTTATAATGGATTTTTGTTTTGCTGTAGCCGTTTTTTTTATAAGTTTATTTGTTTTCCTTTGTTTTGTTGCCTGGGTGTAGCTAGACTATTGACCACTTGTAAAAATATAGCATTATTAAGGAATAACAGGCAGATTTTTATTTTGGAAAGAAAAAAAGATATTTCTCTGTTTTTTTTAGAGATTCTGTTATGTATCCTGAATTCTTTAATTCAGGTGGTGGTTTGTTTGTGTTAACAAATGGGTTGGATTCATCCATAGTTTTCACCAAGAGTTTCACCATAGTAGCAACAGATCTCTTCCCGTGAAGATCGGAGTGACGTTCAATAATTGTCTCACTGTAACTCTGAACTCTGTCCCAGTCAAGAAATGAACTGCAGCCACGTACTTCTGTCCCAGGCGAGATCAGATTTGGTATCACACCCATCAAAGTGCCGCCTCGCAGGAACCAGCAACGACCAATCCAAGAATTGGTGATTACAGATCTACAAAGGGAAATCCAGCAACTACAGCAACGATTAGCTCGGTTTGAAGAAAGAGGAGCAGGAAACAGAAGTTGAGGAAGACATAAACCCTTTCCATCAAAATTCTTCAAGTGAGGAAGAAGTGGAGCTACGCCATCAGTTTAGAGTTCAACGAGGTCCTTCAGATGATGGGGGAATCAAATTTGACTTGCCCGAGTTTGATAGGCGGTTGGACCACGAGGAATTTTGAATTGGCTACACACAGTTGAGAGAGTCATTGAATTTAAAGAAGTGCAATATGATCGCATTGTCAAATTAGTGGCCATTAAGCTGAAGAAAAGTGTCTCTATGGTGGGAAAGTTTGAAACAGCGTCGGGATCGTGAAGGTCAGAGCAAGATAACTAGATGGCCAAAAATGAAAAGGGAGTTACAACGCAAATACTTGCTTGATCAATATCGGCAAGATCTCTTCTTGAAATTTCACCAATTACAACAAAATCATCTCTGTATTGCTGAATTCCAGCAGCTATCACTCCAGTGTGATTTAAGAGAACCTGAAGAGAGCACAATTGCCCGTTTCTTGGGTGGGTTAAACCCCTCTATAGTAATATTGTTCAGTTACAACCTTATTGGACATTCCAAGATGTCGTTAACTTAGCTATGAAGGTGGAAAGACAACAGCGTGGGGGCAAAGGGACACAAGGCAAGGCAGGAAGGAGAAAGAGTGATGGGAACCGAGCAGGCTTTAAGAAGGTGGTGACAGGAAGCAACTCAAACAATAAAGAAGGCACAAGTCTTCCGGACAGTAGTCGTCGTCAGCCCAATACAACCGGACTTCCAGCTCATAAATGCTTTAAATGTCACGAATTTGGCCATATTTCCTCAGGTTGTCCAAACCGGCGGCTAGTCACCCTTCTTGAGGATCCAGAACAAGAAGAAGAAACAATAACAGAAGTCGAGACATGAAGTCCTGAAATTCAGAAACAACAAGAAATGACAATCAGCTCAACAGATGAAGGAAAATTATTAGTTCTTCATCTCCTATTGAACTCACATAAAGAAGAGGTTTGGCAGCGACGCATCATTTTTAAAATAAGGCGTACTATGAACCGAAGAGTTTGTTAAATGATTATCCATAGTGGAAGTTGCGAGAATGTGGTGTCAACTGCTATGGTAGAAAAGCTACAGTTACCGATGAAGAATCACCCCAACCCATACAAATTGTCATGGATTCAACAGGAGAATGAGGTCCAAATATCCAAACGATGTCTACTTAATTTTTCTATTGAAAGTTTTGAAGAAAACGTATGGTGCGATGCGGTACTGATGGATGCTTGTCACATACTATTGGGGTGACCTTGGCAATACGTTCGAAAAACAATCCACTGACACGTGTAATAGCGTGAGGGGCTGTTAACAGGCCCCCTCAAACTATTGCCTCGGAAGAGGTGATCAGTTTGGTTGCGAGTTGCTTGAATCTTGAGATGGAGAGTGGCTTGGTGAAGATATCAACGATTTGGTCTTTGGTGGAAGTGTGATGTATGGTGATTGTTCGATCCTTGATGCAGTTCCTTATAAAATGACAATCGACCTCTATGTGTTTTGTTCTGGCATGAAAAACCAGATTGTTAGCCAAGGCTATAGCTAAGGTGTTATCATAGAAGATAGGTGTAGGAGCGGAGAGATTACAGTTGAAATCTTGGAGTAAGCGGCGGAGCCAAATTACTTCGGCAGTTGAAGCTGCGAGAGCTCTATATTCGGCTTCTGTTGAGGATTGGGTGTCGACCTGTTGCTTTTTGACGCTCCATGAGATTAGGGAAGAACCGAGATAGTTGCAATATCCGAAGATAGATTTTTTGTCTGTCGAGTCACCTGCCCAGTCCGCATCTGCATAGGAGCGCCAGGAAAGATTGTCACGAAAAATTGGTAGACCCATATGCAACGTACCTTGAATATATCGTAGGGGACGCATGAGGGCTTCAAAGTGTGTGATGAGTGGGTTCTGCATATGCTGAGAAATTTTGTTAACTGCAAATGAAATATTAGGTCGAGTAAGAGTAAGATATTGTAGAGATCCTGTTAATTGACGAAATAGAGTGGGATTGCAGAAGGCGGGAGAATTGGTAGTGTCGCGTGTGGGCTTAAGCTGAGATGGGGAAAGAACAGGCTTGCAATTGAGCATACCAGCTTTTGACAGAATGGACTCAGCGAATTGAGTTTGATTTAGGTAGATGCCATAGGTTGTGTGAGTGGCTTGAATTCCAAGAAATTGAGAAATGAGTCCAAGGTTTCTCATATTGAATTTATTGTGAAGATTTTGAAGAATTTTGGTGATTTCTGTAGAGGAGTTTCCGGTAATTAGGATATTGTCGACATAAACTAAAAAGTAGATAGAGATGTCGAGTTTATGATATATGAGTAAAGACGGGTCAGAAGAGCTTAATTTGAAACCAAGACTTTGTAGATGGTCAAAAAGAGTGGCGAACCATTATCTCGGGGATTTTTTTAGGCCATAGAGAGCTTTCTTCAATTGAAAAACGTGATTGGGGTAAAGAGTATCGATAAAGCCGGGGGGGCTGTTTCATAAAGATGGTTTCGGAGAGGAGACCGTGAAGGAACGCATTAGAGACGTCGAGTTGGTGAACGGACCAGTTGTGATGAAGAGCGATAACTAGAAGTACACAAACATTGGGCATTTTGGCGACTGGACTAAAGGTATCAGTGTAATCGAGGCCGTATTCTTGATTAAAGCCTTGAGAAACAAGTCTGGATTTGTGACGAGCAATAGTACTGTCAGAAAGAAATTTAGTGCGATAAGTCCAACGCAGCCAAGTACATTTGAATTGGCGTTCGGAGGGACAAGGTCCAGGTCCTCTAAGACTGGAGAGCTTGGAACTCATCGGACATAGCCATCCGCCAGTGTTTATGTTTGTTGGCTTCGGTAAAGCAAGTTGGATCAGGAGGAGTGTTACAATGGAGAAGATTGAATATAACCTTTGGTTTGGAGTGTCCATTTTTTGATCTTGTTTGCATGGGATGAATGATAGGTTGAGCCGGAATGTCTGTGGAAGGATGGGTGCAAGTAGCGTTGTCTGAAGAAGCAAATGGTGTTAACGAATTGGAGGGGTGACTGACGGGAGGAGAGTATGGTTGACGAGAAGAATGAGTGGTGGTGGTAGGTGTCTCAGGAGTGTGAGTCTGAGTAGTCCGGACGAGGGTGAGTGGAGGTGTATAGTTGTTTTCTAAGGATAAAGGAGGTGTGGTTGTCTGTTGGCTTCGGTAAGGGAACATATCTTAGTTTAAAATAACGTGATGTGATGTGTAAACTTTTCTCGTAGTGGGGTGAAGGCATCTATAGCCTTTTTTCATAGGAGCGTAACCTATAAATACACAAGGAAGAGACAGAGGTGAGAGTTTAGAGTTGTTATAGGGACGTAGCCACGGATAGCATAGACAAACTAAAATGCAAAGGTGGGTGTAAGAAGGAAGTTTTTGATAAAGTTTGAAATAAGGACTTGCGTAATTGAGGACAGGAGTGGGTAACCTATTGATGAGATATACTGCAGTATGAAAAGCGTCAACCCAGAGGAATTGCGAAAGATTTGCTTCGAGGATTAAGGTAAGAATTATTTCCAAGATATGCCGATGTTTGTGTTCGCCAACGCCGTTTTGAGCGGGGGTATATGGACAGTAGAATTGATGATTGATACCCCAATTTTGCAAATGAGTTTGAATTGATAGTTAATGAATTCACCACCACCGTCCGAGCAGAAGGTGATGATACATTTGTTGAATTGACGATCAATCATCTTGTTGAATTCTATGAATTTTAAAATAACTTCAGATTTTTGACGCAACAGATAGATCCAACAAAATTTAGAGTATTCGTCAATAAATGACACATAATATTTGTAACCTTGCATAGAAGTAGTGGGGGAGGGTCCCCAAACATCAGAGTGAACCAATTCAAAACTGGTAGAAGCTAAATGATTTGATATAGGAAAAGGTAATCTATGGCATTTGGCCATTTTACAGGATTACACTGGTAATGAGAAGATTGAAAACAAATAGTAGGCATGGTATTTGCTAATTTTCTTTGAGTGTTGGAGGCAAGATGTCCTAGACGATGGTGCAAGAGATTAGGAATGGCTTGAGTGGAGACGAGAGCGAGCGTATTAGCGGAGTTGAATGAGCGAATCAGATAAAGTCCATTAAGACATGGACCCTACAGAAGAAGCTTCCTGGTCTTCGACTCCTGAATTTTAAATCCATTAGAATTGAACGTAATTATTCATTGATTATTAGAAGTTAGTTGATCAATAGAAATTAAATTGAAAGAAAGATTTGGTATATGATAAAGATTTTCAAGTTTAAGTTTACCAGTTGGGGTGGGAAGAATACCCTTGCTCGAGTGTTGGTTGGGAAGAGTGTGTCTGTTACCTAACGTTATCTAATGAGAACCGGTATGAGATTTTGGGGAGCTTAAGTTCGAGAGATCTGAGGTCAGATGACTGGAGGCGCCGCTGTCAAGAAACCAATCAGAGTTGTTGGATGATTCAGTTTGTGAGAAGAGAGTTGAGTTTTGTTGTTCGTCAGTGTAGGTGGGATCATGATGATGCCAACACTAGATGACAGAGTGACCTTTCTTGAAGTAGATTTGACAAAATATGGAGGTGGAAGCATTCTTGTCATTGCGAGAAGACAAATTGCGAGCGGACCGATTTGCTAAAGAGAATCGTCCACGGTTAGCTTTGGTGCGTCCACAACCTCGTCCACGCGAGGCGGTAAGTGCCATGGTGGGTTTAGACAATTGAAGATTTTTAAGATCGCGAGTTGCTTCTTGGGCGAGATTTTGTTCTTCACTACAGAGCAAAGTATAGAGATCGTCCAGTGTCATGGGCTGGAGATTAGTACGAATCGCGGTTTTAAAGGCTTGATATTGAGAAGGAGACCCGTTCAATGTATAAAGGATAATATCTTCAGTATGAAGAGGTTCGCCGGCAGCGGCGATGACATCGACTTTGGACTTGATATTGAGAAGATATTGTGTCATATTTTGATCTTTCATGGATATGTGATGAAGCTCATTCTTGAGCTGAATTGTGCGGGATCGGGTGGCGAATTGAAGTCGGCAAGAGATGGTGCTCCAAATTTCGAAACTGTGGTCTAGGGAAAGAACATAAGGGAGTAGAGTTGGGAGATGACCGAATAGAGGGCAGCGGCAAGATGTTGATCGATTTGAATCCAAGTTTTGTAGGTATATTCAGTGGAATTGATCGGTGAACAGGGTGAAGGCCGAGGACAAGAATTGTCCAAGAATCCTTCAAATCCATTCGGTCGAAAAATTTTGAATACTTGCAAACGCCATATGGGATAATTGTCTGGAGTAAGAAGGATAGAAACGATGTTCTTGATGTTGCTAACTAAAAATTTGAGTTGAGGAGATATCTACGAGACGTTCGTCGTGGGATTGGAAGTTTGAGGAGCGGTCGGAGTAGTGGCGGCAAGAGATGCCGAAGATGGCTCCATAAGCCGGCGAAAGAACGAGAACATTATTGAGGAAGAAAAAATTTCACCAGGACTTCTTGCTCTGATACCATGAGAGCGATCCAAGAAGACGAAGCAGCGAATGGAGAGAGCAGGTGAAGATGAAATGGAAAATGTAATTCGTATCATAAAGGTAACTATTACGGGTATTAAATAGACAAACTAAGAAGTAAAAACCAATATAAGGATGGCACGTGTAATAGCGTGAGGGGTTGTTAACAATACATACATGTTTGACTATCAAGGAAGGTAAATTGTGTTTGTACCATTACCAGCTCAGCATCAAGCGCCCAACTCTGAACAAATTATATTGAAACGATTGATGTTTATAAAGGCATTATAGGAGGAGAACAAGGGCTAATTGTTGATCTTACTGGAGATAAATGCGATCACATATAGTATTAATGAAGCAATTCAATCTTTAATGCAAGAGTATCAAGATGTACTAGCAAATGAGATTCCCTCTATATTAACTCCCAAGAGAGAAGTTCAGCATGCCATAGACTTCGTCCCAGGATCTATAATTCCTAACTAGCCTATATATCAATTAAGACCATATGAGCATGCAGAACTTAAAAACCATGTTGAAGAATTATTGGCTAAAGGTTTTATTCGCCACACTGTCAGTCTGTGCGACGTGCCGGTGTTAATGGTGCCAAAAAAAGATGGGACCTATAGAATGTGAATTGTCAACAATGTTGTCAATAAAATTACTATAAATATAGGCTCCCAATTCCTCTCATTGACGACATTTCTGATCAACTTTGTGGCTAAACTATATTTTTCAAAATTGATTTGAGGACTGGATACCACCAAATTGTATGAGAGCCGGAGATGAATTGATGATCGCATTCGAGACGTGATAGGCTCTATGAATGGATGCTAATGCCATTCGGGCTCACCAATGCCCCAAGCACCTTTATGTGGCTTATGAATCATATTTTATAGCCTTTATCATGCAAATGTGTGGTTTCCTACTACAATGATATTCTCGTCTATAGTCAAGGTAAAGATAAACACCAACAACACCTTCGGCAAGTATTCGATGTCGTGCGAGAACAACTGCTATTTGCTAATTTAGAGAAATGACAGTTTGCAACTGATAGGATTTCCTTTTTGGGTTACATTATTTCAGCAAATGGGATTAAAGCTGATCCTAACAGGTTACAAGCCATTGTCAGCTGGCCAACTCCTTAATCCTTCACGGATACGAAAGTTTCACAGCCTTGCTTCGTTTTATATAAGGTTTATCCAAAATTTCAGCAGTATTACCACCCCTATTACAGAGATCCTCTGTGTTAATCTCTTTTATTGGAACGACACTGCTCAATCTAACTTTAAGTCTCTAAAACAACAAGTTTCAACTTCTACCGTCTTGGCACTACCTGACTTCAATCACATTTTTGAAGTGGAATGTGATGCATCAAATGTGGATATCCGCGCCGTCCTAAGATAAGGTGGACATCCTATTGCCTTTTTTTAGTGAAAAATTGAATTATACTTGTCGAAAATACTCCACCTACAATAAGTAATTTTATACAATTGTCCGAGCACTACATTGGAGCCACTGCTTGCTGGCCAACAAATTCACCTTCTTCTCTGATCATGAAGCTCTTCATTTTCTCAGCAACCAAAGAAATTATGGAGCCTACATGCTACTAGGGCTGAATCCTTAGCAGCATTTCATTTTGTCCTTTAACTATAAAGCAGTACAGAGCAATCACATTGTTGATGCTCTCAGCCGGCAACACCTCTTCCTGCAGGTTTTGCAATCCAAGGTAATTTGTTTTGATTTACTAAAGAAAATGTATCATAATGATGTCGATTTTAAGAATATTTGGAGCAGCTTTCAGGCTGGCCCATCACATTTATTTCATTTAAAGGAAGGATATTTATTCTTTAACAATAGGCTCTGTATTCCTCACTGTTCAACACGGTTAACTCTCATAGCTGAATGCCATAAAGGTGGGCTGGCAGGCCACTTTGGCTGAGACAAATCATTGGCTTTACTTATAGAAAATTTTCATTGGCCATTAATCATAAGAGATGATGAATAAGATGTGAGTTTTTGCTCTGTTTTGGGTTCTGTATCTTGAAGAAATTCAAGTGGTGTTACCCTACCAAGAATCATGTCTTGGGTCTTGTTTAAGTTGCTCGATTCCGGCAACTCTGGTTCTTGTCCAACGCCGCATCACCACCTCCGTCCGGCGTCATCCTTTTAACAAAAAAAAAAAATCTACATAGACTATAACTTTGTTTGTTTCTTCTTATCTTCCGCATAAATTGTTATTGACAGTTTCAACAAAGTTTCTATTCAGTAAAATAACAAAAAATTTCAAGTAAATCAAATCATTCTTTTCAGTTTGAGATGTATTTGTTCCTTAGAAACTGTAAAAAATTTGAACTTATTTAAAGAGAAGGCAAACCATACCAATCACTTTGGCAAGGCCTAACCCAAATCCAATAAAAGAGTAGGTGAAAGACATCATTGCAGCGACAACGGATAGCCATCGCATATTGTGAAAATCTGGAATCTGGGAGAAGAAAATCTGGACAAGGCCAAACATCAACATAAAAAAGTTTTCTCCACCTGAGCATGGAGCACCATGTCCTTCCTTATGATAGCAATTTGATCTCTGTATTGCCCTACAAAATAGATTTTAGATCTAGAATCAATAAATCAGTTCAGCTTTCAAATATCATGCTCCAGTTTCACATCAAATTGTATAGCTATTTAGTCAAGTACCTCATACAAGTTGCAGTAGTGATAACATATGCAGTAGAAACTCCAAACAAACTCAGATATTGCAGAAACCCACAAAACCAAGTATGCTTGTTACCTGAACAAACACAAAATTATTTTACAGAAGTTTACAATAAAGTGAAAACTCTCCAAAGAAGAAAACAAAAATATCGTTGTTCCAAGTACCTAAAGTCTTCCTAACTGCATCCATGTAAGAGTAGTTTCTGGCTCCTTTCTCTGGATGCGGAGATCGATAACACTCTGAAAGCATGAAGGCAGATATGTAGGTGACCAGGGCGAAACAAAGCATGGCGAAAGGCCCGCCAATCCATCCCAACTGTGCCGTGCTCCATGCCAAGGAAAGCACACCGGCGCCAATGACTCCTGTTATGATATGAGCTATACATGTCCATATACTTCCTGGTAGTATTGTCTTGCCCAAGGGCTTAGAAATCAGGACGTAGTAGATACATAGAGGGATTTGAATTATTCAGAAGAAATAGAAGAAGTTTAGCCCTAGGATTACCTGTTCTTATCTTTCCATCGTCATTGCTGGAAGCATCAGATATCTCAAGAGCGTGCTCGACTGCCATTAGCAAAGCCAGCGAAGAATTTGCAATAGCTTATATGCTTATCTGTATAGAAAATATTGCAAATAAATTAGGGATGATTTTGGAATATTGTAGACTAATTAGTGAATGCGACTGGCACTATCAGTGAATCAACTACAAAAAAAGTTTCGGATGACCTGTCAATCAACATGTGCTGATGTGCTGAGGGAAAATGGAAATAGGAATTTAAAGGGAGTTGGATTTTTTTTTTTTTTTTTTTGGTCTTATTTGAACCGTCTGTTATTGGATCAAATGCAAATGATGTGACATATGTATTCCAATTATTTATCAACTATCCCATTTCGAATAGTAAGATAATTGGATGATCATCCCAATACACAATAACTTATCAGAAAATAGTAGAAGTCAAGATGCTCCAACATAAAGTTAATTTGGATGCTTGTATACTAATCAAATTTAATTTAAGAAAATGTAATATCTATTAAAAATATATAATTCAATCATATTAAAATAAAATTGATGATTATCTTGATTAAATTTGAATCATGCTGATATTATGCCACATTATGCTCATTATTTTGCTTCTTTGAAAAATTTACTTCAAAGTTGCGTTCAAGTTAAAATAACCCTTCTCTTGAAAATGAATTATTTTTTAAGTCTGTTACAATCAAAATTAATTCGAACAAGGTTCGAATAATAACCAATAAAGGTTAGATCATATCCCAAAAAAAATAATGTCCATGTTTGAACTTTTTCAAACTCAAATTATATAAAAGTTGGCATAATCCCAAAAAAAATTATGATTGTCATTTCAAAATTGTTTGAGCAAGGTCCTTAAATGACATCATTCAAAAAATTTATTGAATTGTTAAATTGCAGGATCAAATAAGGAATGTACAATGTTCAAACATTGTATGAGTAATAGAGTAATAAAGCAAAATATAATCACAACAAACTATAAAGCAAACACAACAGAGGATAAATGTATGATAATAAGCATTACATTGAATGAACAACAACAATGACATCAAGCCTTTATCCCCAAGAGCGGAACCAGCCTTTAATTTTCAAGGGTTGGGGGATGCGGGGGGGTGGGCGCAAATGCTATATTATATATATTCTATTATATATAATATTTGTGACAAATGAATTATTTAGTACTTGAATAACATAACATTTATAATAAAATATTATTCAACTATCTATATAAATGACAATTATTCTTAAATAAAAAATTACGGTGTAACACACTCTAGCACAATTGATGTCGGAGTCCAAGGCGGCAGCCACCCCTCACTGCTGCGGGTATCGACCTGCCCGGTCAGGTACGGGTATCAAGTTGTGGACAGCGGCCCGGTGCGGGAGTATTTCAGGTGGCTCAGGCGCCCTGGAAAAATTTTTCGTTTTAAGGTATATTTTGGTCTGTTTACTATTGTCGCTTTGTATTGGTTCATTTTATTCCTTAACAATAATATTTGTACATCAAATGTGTAATTATGATTGTGGTAATGCCTAATTACCATAATATTTTTAAAACTTATTAAGGGGCAGATTGCACTAAAATTTACTTCTAATAACCCATCTACACAATGATATATAATTCTTGCTATGGGGCAATCGCCTAAAGATTCATAGATGATTTAATTTTTAAGGGCGGGTGGAGGGGGGGGGGGGTGGGGAGGGGGGGGGGCAATTGTCTAAAGATTCCTATAATAAAGAGTTATAAAAATCTGGAGGGGGACAAATTACCTAAAAACTCATTTAAGAAAAAAAATTAATTTTTTAGGGGGGCCAATTGCCCCCCCAGGAACCTCAATAGTTTCGCCCTTGTTTATCCCACAACTTTAGGTCGGCTACATGAATCATTTTTTTTCCATTGTGTCCTATTGAGAGTTAAATTCTCATTTAAATCTACTAAAGATAACTCATTTCTAATATTTTTAACAAAGTCTTTTCAGGTCTACCTTTATCTTTTTTAATATTAACCAAATCTTATACATCTACTCTCCTAACAAGGTCATTGGAAGTTTGGCATTTTATGTGACTAAAGCATCTAAAGTCACTCTCTCTAATCTTATCTCCCACTGGAGCTACTCCAACCATTACATGTATATGCTTATTTTTTATTGTGCCTCTAAGAGTGAAGCCGCCCATCCACATGAGCAACCCCATATCTACACCACTTAACTTAAATTTATGCTTTTCTTTTAATTTCTAATATTCTACACTATAAAGCATTATAGATCTCACCACATTTTATAGACCTTTCCTTAAGTTTGATGAGTACTTTTCATTACAAAATAAGCCCAATGCATTCCTCCACTTCAATCATCCGAGTTGAATTCTATTAATAACAATCCCATCTATTTCACCACCACTTTTAGATCTGGGATATCTAAAATATTTACTCATTTAATGACATGATTATCCAAAATCACGATCCCCCACTAGATCTATTACCACTAAAATTACACAGCATATATTTGATCCCCCACTAGAACTTCAAATGGGGTATTTAATACCCAATTTGGAATCCAAAGAGGAATTACATCTTTTAGCGGGGAGTTCCTTTCATTTGGATATCCAAATTTAGGTAAATTTGAATTCTAAAAAGACAAAAACCCCTTTGGCAAGTTCTTTTCTTTTTGATATAAGGACCTAGCAGATCAAAGGATCCTGAAGAAATACGTTGAGGAGAAGAAGAAAATTTTCCCATTTTAATAATTATGGTCATTATATAGGATTAAAATCCATGTTATTGTATGCGACAACCGACTACTTCTAGTTCCTACAGACCCTGGATTGTAAATTAAGTGGTACTTACCACATGGACTTTAAATATTCTATATGATTAATGATGTTTTTTAAATTTATTACACACTAGAAATTGGCTATTTTCTAGATTTCTTTCTTGCATGTGTGGTTTGTTTATCTTGGAAAACTCTATTAGGCTCTTAGGGACAATGAAAAATTTTTCTACCAATAATCAAATAAAATTTTAGTCCCACATAAAAAAGATATGTGTTATCTAATAAGTAAGCCTGAGAATGCCTAGTAGTTCTCATGTATTCATATTTTACTTTCTATTCTTTGACAGGCACCTCCCCTCTTTCAAGTCATGATAGATCACGTGACCAATCAGGGTGTTGCTCTATCTAGAGGATGTTGAGCATTTATAGAGAAGGTCCTATTTTCTATGCCAAAATTTTTAAAGTTCATCATATATGATTTTTTGCATTCATATTCAATCAACATGCATTACATTAGAAACCAATCAAATTAATAAAACTTTAATTACATCGGGCATAATCAAAATTCAGAAGTAAGCGTCAATTATGACTTTCTTTTGATGTACGTCCCAATAGCCTACCCATCTTTCATAAAGACCAGATTCATTATTTTACAATGCCTAGGTGGTTTAGCTAATACTCCAATCTAGGCCGAGGTAAGCCTAGATTTATATTTCATTACATAGGTTAGCATCACTATTGTTTAGATCCCAACTTAGATTGAAAATCCAGCACATACCTAAAATCATAAGTCCCCAACATTAAAAATTTAAGCCAAAATTTCTAAATAAAATAACAACTCAAATTTTCTCTAATAAAAAAATTAAAGCCAACACATAGGATAGATTAGACTATTTCCTAATTATTTCAGAATTCCAAAACACTTCTAATGTGATCTCCCTAGCAACCACCGGAGATGACCTGCAAGAAACAGAGAAGAAAACGAAAAACCAATGGAACAATATTTGGGTAATATGATATTTTATCTCTTCAATATTCCAAGGTGAGGTATATATATAATACCACTAATACATTACTACTATAGTATAAAAGGTTAACTAAGGGAAGTGGAGAACGTGCAACCAAAAATGGAACATATAGTGACTAGTGTTTGTGGCAGGTATAGTAAAGGTAGGATGTCTCGCGTAATAGGATAGTCCCCTTCAAGTCTCCCCATCTTCGAAAGAACTCGGTTCTGACGAGGAAAAGTAGTATCGTCATCGTCATGTGGATGATACTAATGGATATTAGAAATGTTGAAGGTGGACGATGTCTGAATGTGAGCCGACAGATCAATAATATAGGCGTTGTCATTAATTTTCCTCAAGACAAGAAATGGACCAATTTTTCGCGGGCTGAGCTTACTGTACATACCAGTAGAAATCTCTCTTGGCAAACATGAAGCATCACCAAGTCACCTAGGTTGAAAATTTTGGGACGCCTTCGTGTGTCAGCTAGTTGCTTATATTTTAAATTGGACTCTTCTAATTTGGCGTGGACTTCTTGCACCACATTTTTGAACCCTTCGGCAGTTTGAGCAGTAGCGGTGCTTCAGCATTTGGACAAGATAACAATGTCAATCAAATGGTTTGGCATTTTTGTATATACTATGCTGAAAGGGCAACGTCCTGTAGATCTATTTGGCATAGAATTGAAAGAAAATTCTGCTTGACGGATCATTTCCTCCCATTTTTTTGGGTGATCTTGCATGAAACAGCACAACATATTGCCAAGGGTGCGGTTGATAACTTCTATCTGACCGTCCATTTGAGGGTGGTATGCGGAGCTAAGTTTGATTTATGTATGGAGGCACTTTCATAGGTCCCTCCAGAAGTGACTAATTAAATTCACATCACGGTCAGAGGTGATACTATGGGGTAGCCCATGTAATTGAACGATCTCCTTAAAGAAAAGTTTAGCAACATGCAAAGAGTCAAAAGTTTTCTTACAGGAAATAAAATGCGACATTTTAGAAAACCTGTCTACTACCACCATAATAGAATCAATGCCATTCTTAGTTCATGGGAGACCCAAGACAAAGTCAATACTAAGATCTTCCTAGATGGAGTCCGGTGTGGGAAGGGGCATATATAACCCAGTGTTCTGTGAGGTACCCTTAAACTCCTGACATACCGGACATCGCTCTATAAATCGAGAAACATCCCTGGATAAATGGGGCCAGTAAAAATGTACCTAAAGCTAGGCGAGAGTTTTGTCTCTGCCAACATGCGCCGACAGGCCTCCATAATGAGTTTCCTTGATAAGATGTTGCCTATAGGACGAGTTGGGAATGCATAGGTTATTAGCTTTAAACAGGAAACCATGGCGTACAATAAGATCCTTACAAGGTTTGCCGGACATGCATTGTTCCCAGTAACTGGCAAAATCAGCATCCTCGGCATAGAGATTCTTCATTTCTTGTATCCCAGTGATCTCTTTTTGCAACCGAGTGAGTAGGGCTGCTTTCCTGCTAAGCGCATCAGCCACCCGGTTGAGTTTTCCTTCCTTATGCTGTATCACAAAGGTAAATTTCTAAAGAAAAAGGATCCATCGAGCATGCATATGATTAATATATTTTTTTTACTTTTGAGGTATTGTAGAGCCTTGTTATCACTGCTTAATACAAAATCCTGATGAAGCAAGTAATGCTCCCGCTGTTTCAATGATCGCACCACTGCATACATTTCCTGTTCATAAGTGGACCACTTCTGCCTTGGTGGACTCAGCTTTTCACAAAAGAATTCAATAGGCCTCGACTCCTGAGAAAGCACAACACCAATACCTACTACTGAGGTGTTAGCATCCACATGAAATGGCTTCTCAAAATTTGGCAAGGCAAGAACTGGGGCGAATGATAAGGCAAGCTTAATAGTTTTAAAACTATTCTGTTGAGTCGTTGTCTAAATAAAATTACTAGCTTTTAAACAACCCGTCAACGGAGCAACAAGAATGATGAATCCCTTAATAATCGCCTATAAAAATTAGCGAGACCACGAAAGCTACGCACTTCAAATAGGGATTTGGGAGTAGGCCATTCTCGGATTGCTGCTACTTTTCTCGGATCAACCTCAACACCTTCGGCAGAAAGTATAAATCCCAAAAAATGGACGCACTTGAGGTGAACTCACATTTGGGGAATTCAAATAGAGTTTATGGTGGTGAAGTACTTGAAGGATATCAGAAAGATGATTAATATGATTAAGAAGGTTAGCGCTAAAGACAAGAATATTGTCAAAATAAGTGACGCAAAATTTTTCAAAGAAAGGTTTTAGGACTTCATACATCAATCTCATGAATGTAGATGGGGCATTGCAAAGACCGAAGGGCATTACCTTCCATTCATATAATCCATCACGGGTCTTAAACGTGGTCTTCCATTTGTCACCAGGGCGAACGCGTATTTAATGATATCCACTCCTAAGGTCCAAATTAGAGAACACAACAGCTCCCGCAAGGCAATCGTGCAAATCAGAAATCCGGGGAAAAGGGAATATGTATTTTATAGTGATTTTATTAATTTCTCCACTATTAACGCACATTCTCCATTGGTCATCCTTTTTGGGACTAATAGTGCCGAAACTGTGCAAGGGCTCAAGCTATGCTGAATGAACTCTTTATTCATCAGTTCTTCTACCATATTTTATAGAGTAGACTACTCTTTATGACTCATACGGTAATAAGTCAAGTGCAGAAAAGTTGCTCCGGGAACAAATTCTATCTGATGCTGGATGGAACGCATCGGTTATAGCTTCGAAGGCAACTCAGGAGGAAGGACGTCTGCGAACTTATGCAACAGTACCTGGATTTTTGCTAGACAGCCAGCAGGTTTGGATTCCCCCGAGCTATCAGAAACCACTAGCGCCAACTAACAATTACTATCTTGCCGTGACTGCACTAGGAGTTTGCCTGAAGTTATAAAAATTTTATTTGGACCTTTATCCGTAGTAGAGTAAGAATGGGCTTGGGGGTATAGCCACAGCTTCATGCCTTTCAAGTCAAGAGTATAAACATTTTACATAGAGTGATAAGTCGCATCCATGTTATGCTACCATGGCCGACCTAAAATCAGGTGACATATGTCCATGTCAATAACATCGTAGAGAACCTCGCAAACATAATGTTTACCGATTGAGAAAGGAACACGACATATGTCGGTCATTGTTACCTCCATACCCTTCTTAATCCAACTAACTTTGTATGGGTGCGGATTACTGCTAGTTTTCAATTGCAAAGCTTGAACCACATATCAAGAGATAACATTTTTTGTGTATCTACTATTTATTAGCAAGTCAAATACTTTGCCTTAGATAGTGCAACGACTTATAAACAGAGAACTTCACTATGACTGAACTGAAGTTTGAGGTGCTAATAGTAATTTTTGTATAACACAGAGGAGTGGTTAGCCGTCGTCAACATGTACAACTTCAATGCACGCATCTGAGTCTTGCTCCATAGAATACTGCTCACTTTCAACAATATAATCATCTCCTTCCAGCACTTGAATTCACTATCGATTTGGAAACTCATTAAACTTATGTCCTAGTTGGAAACATCAGTAGCATTTCAGTGTATTGGGTTTGCTGTATGGGTTTTCTCGCAATGGGGCTGGGGGTCTAGTTGGGATTTTTGGTTCAACTGGATGACCAGGTTGACTGGGTGCAGGTATATTGCTAGTGGGGCAAGAAACCTGAGATGGCCTTGGAGCATAAGGGCCATTCTTGGTCTGATCAACATACGAATCAATATAAGGTTTGCAGGTAGAATGATTGCAGGACTGACGCTACAACTAGGCTTCGTCCTTTAAGGGTAAATTCACCGCTTGAGATAATGTCCAGACATAGTTCAAATCAAGCTTATCTTGTATGAGATCTTTCAAGCCACCAATGTATTGAGCAACGAGTTGGGTTTATGATTCCCGAAGGTTGTTGCGAGCGCTCAACCGATAGAACTCTTCGATGTATCGCTCATGGGTTGATGGCCTCAAGTGCATTATTGATATTTAAGATGCAAAATCTGCTCATAATCAGTTGGTAAGAGGTGACTTCGAACCAATTGTTTCATCCTCGCCCAGCTGCGGATAGGTCCTTTACCTTCACGACGACGATATTGTATAAGTTGCAGCCACCACGCACTGGCACCGCCCTTCAACCGACAAGCCACATACATAACTTGTTTGTCGGGGTTGATTTCCATATACTCAAAGAATTCTTCAATGGCACGTTCCCAATCGAGGTAATCCTCGATATGTAACCTTCCCTCATAGAAGAGTATGTATAATTTGACTCAAAATTCACCCACTCCACCATGATTTGGTCCGTTAGGTCAGCGACAATCATGACGATGGTAGACTTCATCTTTGGATTCAATATTCTCATGTTGCAGATGAAAATTAACTCCATCTTTGGAATCTGAGGCATCAACAAACACAGGTCACGATTGTCTAACATATCCCCCACGGCCAGGATGAGCTCTAGGAGTCGGCACATTCACTAGTAGGGGTTATCTCGACACAGTGCTAACTGAGGCTTTGAGAACCAACATCTCAGTTCATAATTCAATAGATGTGCGGAAGAAGTCCATCCTAAGTTCGTTAAGTTGCCGGGTGATGCTAGCTTGCGCAGCCCACAAGGCATCCAAGCTTCGATCATCATCGGAAGCTCTATGCGAAGTTTATGCAACCATTAGTCTAGATCACTGGTGATCTGATACCAACCTAATGTGATCTCCCTAGCAACCACCAGAGATGACCTACAAGAAATAGAGTAGAAAATGAAAAACCAATGGAACATTATTTGGGTAATATGATATTTTGTCTCTTCAATATTCCAAGGTGAGCTATATGTATAATACCACTAATACATTACTACTATAGTAGAAACAGTTAGCTAAGGGAAGTGGAGAATGTGCAACCAAAAACGGAATAGATAGTGACTAGTGTTAGTGGCAGGTATAGTAAAGGTAGGATGTCTCGCGTATAGGATAGTTCCCATCAACTTCCTACATCTCATCTTTTGGACCTAAAAAATAAGTGCTCAAAATTGATCTAATCCTTATTGAAATTCCAACCTCACTCCTTTTATATCACTCTTAAAATATCTAAAAGTAAAATTTAAATCATTTTTTTAATTGAGAGTATTCATAGGAAGTTTAAACTTTCTATGATATAATTAACTAAGAGGGCTTACATTTATAAGAGATTTAAGATCCTAGAAATAACCAAACTTTATTATATTTATCTCCTAAATACAATGGGAAAAAGAAATTATTATCTTAAAAAAATCAAAGATGATCATCATCGTCATATTCAAACAATGGATAATAAGTGTTATTTTCTTTTCCTAGAGTGATATCATTTATCAACATATCTTTGAATAAGAAATTAATGGCAATATATCTAGATTATTGTAGATTAGTATTTGATTAAACATCATTTTGACCAACTAAAATAATATGTAGTTCCTTCTTGAATTTGGTTATGATGGTTATGATGAAATTTATAGCTTTGTAATATGGATCCACTAGGGAGTGATTTTTCACCATCCAAAATGATATAACGTTCATAATGATGAGTTCAGCTACAAAGTTAAAAGAAACTTAAAATAGTTATATTCAAATTTTCTCAAAGAAAATATAATCACAATTGCTTTGCACTTTTCAACAAAGTTAGCAAATAGTTTTCTAGTGACTCCACTGGAGCTTTATCTCTCACTCCATCTTTAATAATGATAAAAATTTTATTAAATCGATAGTTAAAACTAATTTTTTTCTTTTGGTCCCTCTTCCCATTTCATTCTTGGGTAAGGCCAACATAAAGAAAATAAAAGAAAGTAACAAGTAAGAGATGTGAGTAAGGGAGTTGTTAATAAAATAGGGTCTTTGGCATTTCACCCCAAATCAATTTGTGGAATAAGAGAGTCGAGCCAACTTCCTTAGATTTTTATATCAATTTTGTGAACCTCATATCATGTTAAAAACTCAAAATGCTGGGTTCCAAAATTTTAACGAAATAAATCAAATTCAAAATCTAAATCTTCTTTCAAAAAAATGAATAAAATAACTCATACATTTCACTATTATATGTACTTCCATAATATCTTCTTGTAGCCTAACATAAATAATGAAATCCTAATATTACCAAAACATGAATGATTTTCATTTCTTATATTTATATGACACATTATGCTTTGTATGACTTGATAAATAGAGTAAGAATCAAAATCATTAATGATTTTAAAACTTCTTTTCAAAATTAACTAATTCAATCATTTATTCTTAATCTTAGGAAATCAAAACAAAATAAAATGGCTAGAAAATAGATATTCTCACTGGATCGTGATAAGAATATCAAAGAGCTGATTTGTAACAACTTGACTCTATTTAAGATGGGGTTTCAAACACTCAAATTGTCAATCAATGGGGGAACTATTGTTATTCTTTCTACCAAGGATAGAAAGGACACTCCCTTTGTAGAGATTACTATTGGGTCGGGATGGACTTCTCCGTTCCAAATTCAAAGGATGTTGTAGCAAATCATACCCATTATATCCTCTACTAGGGGGGTTAGAGAAACTAAGTCAGTGGCTGCAGCATCTTGGGACATAGAAATATCTGAAGAGGCATCAAGTTTTGAGTAAACATTGGAAGAAATATTACCTGAGAAGGGTCAGAAAGAAAATAACTAAAGCCACGAAGATTTCTAAACTGAAAACCTTAGGTGTTATGGAGACTGAAGCTACTGAAGAGCTACTAATTCATGTATCCTCCCCACTTCTAAAGGGGTACCGCTTCTATCCTCTTTCGACTATAGTGGGAGAGGAGTGGGTTAGCATGATAGCTCAATCTTCACCATTCATGATGGACTACTACATTAAGAAGACACCAAA